GGTTTCTAAAGAGAGCTGGCCTGGATTGCAGTTTGATCACGTCGCAGACTTCCTTTCTACCAGTCTTGTCATCGGGCCGTCAGACTGTGTCCCGGCAGCTTAGGAGTCTTCCTTCCTGTGGTCTTGCTCCTCTTTCAGTTCCCGGTATTTCACTGTGCCTGAGGTAGGCAGTTGTAGCGCCGTTGGTATCGGATACCTTTCTGTCCTTTGAAGTATTACACCACAGTGGATAGTAAAGTGCCCAGATTACATTATAGAACAGACTGTGGGAGCTGCGCCCCCGGGGACAGGCTTGGCTCGCATCCACACCCTCCTGCAGCTCGCGGGGGCTTTTGCAGCAGGGTGCTGTGAATCGGGTTGAGCCTCATTCAGCAGTCCCTATATCCAGACACTAAAGTGGCTCGTTAAAGATTAAAGGGACCGACTGCCTGGTCTTTCTGGCCCCAAGATGGAAAGATTCCCGCCATGGCGACAGCCTCTGACTCCCAGGAGAGGCCATCTTATCCTGCACGGTTGTGCTTCCAAACATTACAGCAAGCCTGTGGTGACCGATGCTGTGGTGATAAGTTGGCATCTGGGTACTTGCAAGGCATATGAGTTGTATAGCACCCCATGGTTTGAATTTCTGGGCAAAACTGCCTCATCAGGAAATCGAACGCCTCTCCTTTCAACCCATGCCTTTGGGGAGGTTCTCTCCTTTGTTGTATTTGACTACTCTGTTGAGCCAAGTGAACTTTAATTTTCACAGCTGTAAAAATTCCATTAAGCCCCGTGTATTGCATCCCAGGTGTGAAAACATCTCGGTCTAACAGGGCTGTGGGTGACAGTGAAAATCCTTAAGAGTAGTTAGGATACTTGCCTCTGGAGGCTTGAAGAAAATACTGGTCCAAAATAAATACAGTTCAGTTGTTACAGTCTTCTTAAAGAAATTATTTTTCGCGGTGCTGGGTCTTCGTTGCTGTGCACGGGTTTTTTCTAGTTGTGGCCAGCAGGGCCTGCTCTCTGCTCTCTCTGCATGGTCTTCTCCCTGCAGCGCCTTCTCTTGTTGTAGAGAATGGGCTCTAGAATGCGCAGGCTCAGTAGTTGCTCTGAGGCATGTGGAACCTTCCAGGACCAGAGATGGAACACCTGCATTGGCAGGCAGATTATTATCCAGTGTACCACCAGGGAAGTCCAGGTGTTATATTCCTGATGGTTCTCATGGGGGAGGGGACTAATGTCTAAGACCTGCTCTGTGAGACTCCTGTTCAGTTTGGGGGTCTTTGGTGGGGTTGGGGGGTTGGGGGAGGAAGTGGTAACAGTACTACCAAAGAAAACACGCTTTATTTTACAGCTTAGGGAACAGAACCTTGACCTGTCTCTCAAAACATGTTTGGATACAACAAGGGCTGTTTGTATCAGAGTCACTTAGGAAAGGGAGAGGCTTCTTAAACATTCTCATTCTGGGGCCTCCTTCCACTTCTACTAATTCAGAGTGTCTGAGAGACTGGATTGGGAAGTGATAACTTTTCAGTAAGCACCCCTGTTGATTCTCAAGTACCCCTAGAGTTGATTCTCAAGTATCCTAAAGTCCTCTTCATTTTTCATGCTTAATTTCTGTGGTTTATTAGATGATTGCTATTTGGTTGACATTCATTGTCCTTTTTGAAGAGTAGGTACTCTAATTTAAAGAAAAAAAAGGGTGGGGGGGAGGAGTTATGAGATTCCTAAACATCCAGGATTAGAATTCGGCAGTGTCTCTGATTATTAACAAAGTAGGAAAGCCACTGATTCTTGGAAATTTTGGTTTATCAATTCACTGTCTTCTCAGTCGGTAAAAGGATGTGGGGGAAAAAATAGAAAAAGGATGTGGACATAAATAAGATTAATTTTGTTAAAAAGAGGAAATGTGCAGTATTACTTAGGATGCCAGAAATGGGGAAGCAAGTAAAAGGGGTGGGTGGAGAGGAAAGAAGGGGAAAACATTCAAGTAGTTTATAAACAGTAAACAATTTAAAACTTTAAACTGGATTTTAAATTTGTTGTTCAGTTGCTCAGTCGTGTCTGACACTCTTTGGGACACCATGAATTGTAGCACACCAGGCTTTCCTGTCCTTTACTCTCTCCCAAAGTTTGCTCAAAGTCATGTCCATCGAGTAGGTGATGCCATCCAACCATCTCATCTTCTGTCCTCCGCTTCTCCTCCTGCCTTCAATCTTTCCCAGCATTAGGGTCTTTTCTAATGAGTTGGCTCTTCCATCAGGTGGCCAAAGTGTTGGAGCTTCAGCCCTCAGTCCTTCCAATGAATATTCAGAGTTGATTTCCTTTAGGGTTAACTGGTTTGATCTCCTTGTAGTCCAAGGGACTCTCAAGAGTCTTCTCCAACACCACAGTTCAAAAGCATCAATTTTTCGGCGATCAGCCAAAGAATATTTGAATATATGCTTGTTGTAAAAAAAGTATTCAAACATTGATATAGCTAAAATACCTTCTTGATCTGCTCCCATTTCAGTTCCCTACCATATCTTTCTGTACATATTTGGTAACTTTCTATGGATTTGGAAGAGTACAGAATCCTAAGAAATTAGTAATTTCTTTTGACACCTGCTTGTTTAAAATGTTAAGATCTATCAGAAAAAAACCCCAAAGGTGGGCTATAAATGACATGACATACTTCTGTTCACGTAAAACAATGGGTATGATGTTTGTAGAAAGAGAGTGTGTGTGTGTGTATGTGCATACACAGAAATGCATACATACACACATGCATATATTAAATACCTCTTAAGACTACACATCAAAAGTAAACCTATAGAGCCTTGGGTGCTGAATTACTTGTTTGAGTTTTATTTTTTATTTATGTATATACTTTTTTTGCTCTGAGTTTTAAGATAGTATATGGAAGGAACTTCTCACGCAGTCTCATATTCTTATTTTTTTTTAAGATTTAAAAAAAAAATGTGGACCATTTTTTAAAAGTCTTTATTGAATTTGTTACAATATTGCTTCTGTTTTATGTTTTGTTTCCTTGACCATGAAGCATGTGGGATCTTTACTCCCTGACCAGGGATTGAACCCATGCCCTCTGCACTGGATGGCTAGGGAGGTCCCCCAGTCTCACATTGTTAGAGTTTCCATTTAACCTTATAAAATCTCAAGTGCCTGAAGCCATTAGTTCAAATGTAGCGTCTTTTTAAAGCTGTTCATCTGTAATCCTCAGCCTTTCCTGATTAAAAGAGGGAACGCGGATGAAGCGAGGCTATATTTGGGGGGAACTGTTCAGAACTGTGCAGAATCCCACAGAGGGAAAGGGTAATCTGAGACAGCCCTCCTCACCTGCTGAGTGGCGCTTATCTTAGCAGAATTAGGAAGTTCTCTTACTTCTGTTGCTCCTCACATCATTTACATTTATTTCCTGGGCACAGAACCAGCTGGACTTTCTCTTCCTCATTTAAAGTTTACTGATATAGAATGAGTCAGAAGCTTCTGACAATACTCAGTCTTTGTTTCCGTATTCGTCTCTACTCTGTGCACCTTGAAAGCTGCTCCATCTTAGGATGTTTGTGGCTTATCGTCAATGACAGAAATATGTTTTAAAGTGTGGTCCGTGAGATAATGGCTGTCGGCCACTGTAAAGATGCTTCTGTCATTGGAAAGACTAATTAACACATACCATAGGAGAACTTCTTTAAACACAGCTATTTTCTGAAAAAAGGAAAACACTGAAGGGGAGGAAATAAAGGAGGGAACATTTTATAAAACCTTCTAAAAGCCCAGCATGGTTATCCTGCTGGAATAATGTAATTAAGGGACATTGAGTTGGATAAATACCTTTTTTTTTTTTAAACTAGCTCCGTGAAAAGGAATTGAATTAAATAGCATAGTTTTTGAAACCCTAATTCTGACAATCTACGTGTACATTTTAATGAATCCTAACGTTTACTGAAGGACCGACTGGATTGGTGGCTACATCCAGAGTCCGGTGCCTTGAGAGACCTACCTGACGGGATGAACAAGGCTAGGTGTGGTGGCCTTGAGAGTCCATGCTGAGCAATAGCTGATGACCGTGGGAAATTTGGAGCAGGGAACAGAAGGATCTGATATGTACTCTAGTTTCTTTCTTGTCAAGTGAGCGCACAGGGGAAGCAAGGACTTAATCTTTTGTTTTCTTTGTCTAGCGCCACTGCCAGTTCTAGCCTGCCAGGGCAAATTCAATAATAATTAATAGCTGTTGATGAGCCAGTTGTTCTAGAATCGATTTTTTTTTTAAGCTGACCAATAAATGAGACTTGCCATAAATTTAAGGATTCTTTTTTCTTTTAGAAGTAAGTGTTAATGTGATTTTCACAGCCTCCTATGGTTCCTTAAACATCTAGCAGGTGTGATGGTGGATATTAGCATAGAGACTGTATGACAGCTGATGAAACAACAACAACAACCCTCCCATGTATCTGTGTTAATTAGAGAACATGAGTTGTCTCTAGAAACAGAGAGGTCAAAGAAGGCCTGGTGGGGAAGGAGCAGCGGGCCTGGTCAGAGCTGACAAAATTCACTCTAATGATGTGACCAGCCAGCCCTCACTGGGCACGTTCCCTCAGTCCTCTGACCCAGATGCTCCAATTTGTAAACGTGAAGTGACTTTCTTATCAGCTTCTTGGGGTAATCTGCAGAATTTCAGTAATCTTGCTGTCCTGAGCCCCTAGGCTGTTTTCAGATGAAATTTCAGAAGGTGACTGGCCACAGGAGCTTCCCTGATGATCAGCAGCCTGGGAATAGGTCCACCTGCCTCCTAATAACCAGCTTTCAATTTAAAAAAAGAATCATTGGGGCACCTCTTCTTTTCTGGGTTGCAGTTGATTGCGGTTGGCTCAGGCTGAGTTGTTTGGGAAATAGAGTCTTGCCTGGCATGAGTCAGCACTGCCCTGGGTAAACCGCCCGCTCTGTTGCAATCTTGCTTACCAAAGATACGTCCCCAGGCAGCACCATTCACTGCCTGAAAGCCACTGCTGTTGGCTCCCGAGATGATCTCATCTCAACGGGGCTCCAAAGACCTCAGCAGCGGCAGGAACCGAAGGCAGCTGGCTGTCTGCCCTGGCCATGTTTTGAAACAGGCAAAATCAGGTAACCCCAGACTCTTTTCTCTTGAGTGCCATGAGCTAGACCCAGCTGCAGCAGAGACGGGAGTGAGCCTTGGTCTTTAGGAGTGAGTCCATGCCAGATCGATCTGGTTGTCTGAAAGTCAGTCCTTGAGCTCTTCGGAGGGGACGTGAGGGGAAGAGTTCATTTTGTTTGGGATGTGGTTTTGGACCTAATAAGACCGCTTTTTATATAACCTCAGAGAAATAAGAAATGTTAGGTTTACAGCTTCACCCGTCTTTTGCCCTTGTAGTCTCTGTTCTTTCTGTGTCTTGTGAGAACTGGTTTAGTCACACTAACCCATTCTTAGAGAGGGGCATGCGCGTTTGCTTTCCTGCTTACTGATGTGACTGCTGAGTTGCAGAGAACACAGTCTTAGCAGTCCGCTTCTGGTGTGCTATGAAGAACCTCCCCCTTTCCTCACTCTGTTCAGACCGCTGCCCTGTTTCCTTCCTCTAAACTTCAGAGAGCTTCGGCCTCATCGCTGGGCAGTAATACATCCACTCCTTCAAGTTTGCCCCTGCTTCTTGCAGTTATCCCTGGATGGTCTGTGTTCTCTTTTACTTCAGGCCTTTGCACAAGCAAGCGTTCTCTGAGACACCCTGACCCAGCATAACCCGGCCAACTGGCGCTAGCCTGGGAGTCACTTCTGGGAGGCCTCCTCTTACTCACCAAGACTGGATGAGTGCTCAGGAGAACCCTGTGTTTGCCTGTATCACAGGATATGTTTGAGAAGCAGCACCAGTTTTGTTAGAATTATATCCAATGTGCTTGGCACACGGTTCTCAGGAAGGGGAGCACAAACACGAACCTACACTGAACTTCCTCAGCTCTGATCCTGTTAGCAACTCTTTGTTACTTTGACTTCTATCCCCATCACCCTGTTTCTCTTTTCCTGAAGATTGCAAGGAAACTCCTGATTTCCAGACCCAGAGTCTGTCCTGATTTCAGCCTCCATCTCACTCAATCTCTGCCTACCATTTGGCACTATCGAACCGTTCTTTTTATCCCGCCCCCAGCAGCCCTCTTCCTGTGGCTTTGAGGCCACTTTGTCTCTCTGAGTCTCCAGAGCATCCTTCCATTGTTTATTCTCATTTTCTTTTGGTTAGTCCATAAATGTTGAGATGCTCCAGGGCCTTGGGTTTCTTTCCCTCTTCTCCTGCCCACTTCCTCTGAAGACCTCAGATAGGTCCATGAATTCAGCTGTCTGCCCTCAGTGTGCCTTACCAGCCCAGTTGTGTCTCCCAAACTTCAGATCCTTATTTCCAACTTGACAAGTCTTTAAAAAATTTTTAAATTTATTTTTAATTGGAGGATAATTGCTTTACAATATTGTGTTGGTTTCTGCCATATATCAACATGAATCAGCCTTAGGTATATGTGTGTCCCCTCCCTCCCCTCTCCTACCCCATCCCATCTCTCCAGGTTGTCACAGAGGGCCGGATTTGAGCTCCCTGTGTCATATAGCAAATTTCCACTTGCTATCTAGTTTTGCATACATAGGTTTCAATGCTGTTCTCTCAGTTTGTCCTACCCTCTCCTTCCCTTCTTGTGTCCACAAATCTGTTCTCTGTGTCTGCATCTCCATTGCCACCCTGCAGATAGGCTCATCAGTACCATCTTTCTAGATTCCACATATATGCGTTAATATACGATGCTTGTTTTTCTGACTTATTTCACTCTGTATAACAGGCTCTAGGCTCATCCACCTTATTAGTTACTGAATCAAGTGCGTTCCTTTTTATGAGTAAGTAACACCAGCTTGACAAATCTTGACAGGCTCTGTCCAGCTGGGTCATTCAAAACTATCAGAGTCATTCAAAAGCCATTTTAAATTCAACACGTACAGAACAAGTCATTTTCTCCCTCCCCAGTATCTGTTATCTGCTCATGTTGCTGTATGTTTGAAGTCTGTTGATTATATGCACCAAATCTTCTTTCATTCTTCTTATGCCTCACATCTCATCTATGGTTGCTCAACCCTTTCGATTATATCGGAGTGTTTGACGTGTGTCTTTTCTTCATTCCCACTGTACTGCTTTCATTTATCAGAGGTCAAAAACTAGATATTTTGTTTAACCAGCCCTGAAGCTTAAAATTTTGCGTGTGAACACTTTGAGGCAGGGCCTGCTCTCTGCCAGGGTTACAGATACTCCCCGGTCTTACACAATGAAGATGTCACATTTTACGTACTTTGCCTCTAGGAATTTGCTTTTGTAACTTCTGATTCAGAGCCTTATCAAACCTTATGTGCTTTTATCATGTCACCCTACATCTTCCTGTGCTTCAGTACCTCTCATTTCTTGTTGCCAAAGTTGTGTTACTAAAGGCCAAATCTAATCTTCTTATTCTCAGGATGTCAGAATGCCGTTGGTTCCCTGTTTCCTACTTAGCTGGAGAGGTAAAATCCTTTACAGTTTGACCCTACCCTACCTGTTACTCTTGCTTGTTTTATTTTTAATTTTTAAATTTTCTTTACTTTTTCTTTTCTTTTCTTTTTTTTTTTTTTTTACTTTTTGGCTGTACTCTGTAGTATGGGGGATCTTAGTTCCCCAACCAGGGATTGAACTGATACCCTCTGCATTAGAAGACAGTCTTTCTTAACCACTGGACCACCAGGGAAGTCTCAACTCTTTCTTGTTTTATCTCCTTCCCTCTCCTCTTCCCGGCCATTTCTCCTTTCTCCAACTTCACTGACCTTTTAATTTCTCCAGTCCCTGATTATACCACGTCCTTTTAGGACACTGCCTTTTCCTAGGGGGTCCCTCCTCTGACAGGCAAAGTTAGTCATCCCCTAGGAGACCTAGTTCATATGTTACACCTTCCCTGACTTCCTCCGGTAGAGTTCTTCCTTTATTTGAACTTCTGCAGCAAAGCCTGTCTCTTCTGGATTGTTGAATTCCTTCACTGAACCTGGTCCTTGACCTAAAGCTTAGCACCGTCAGACAGTGGTTGAAGTGGATCCCCAGGGTCAAACCACTAGCCTAAACATCTTTATTAGACTTGGCAGTATTAGAAAATCCACAAGCTCTCTAGTTAGAAAGCGTGGTTTTGGTTCCCGTTTAATGAACTTGAGCCCATAGTGCCTGTTCCGCATATGTCACCTGGAACCCTCAAATAACCATCCAAAGTTATTTTGAAGATTGATAGGACTTCCTGAAACCTAGTTCTAGATCATCACCTAAGTAGTAGAGTACCTTACAGAATTATTCCCCTGTGTCATTTTATTTGATACCTATAAGACCCTGTGTTGGGTAGGCTTTATTATGCCTATTTTATCGGTGATTGTAAAACTGCTTCTGATTGAAGCATACATTCAGGTAAGACTCAGAGGGGAAACATGCTTTTACACTGTGGCTTCTCTCTTTGTAGTTAAATATACCTTGTTGGGTTCTACAGAGAAGGCTGTGGTTGTTTAGTTCCTAAGTCGTGTCCATATATGTGACTTCAGGGGCTGTAGCCTGCCAGTCCCCTCTGTCCTTGGGATTTTCCAGGCAAGAATACTGGAGTGGGTTGCCATTTCCTTATCCAGGGGATCTTCCTGACCTAGGGATCGAACCCATCTCCTGCATTGGCAGGTGTATTCTTTACCACTGGACCACGAGGAAAGCCCGGACAAAAAAGGTGCCTTTGCTCAATAGGTGAGTGCTAAAGGTCTTATCTTTTTGTAAGGTCACTTTATCTTCAGGGTGGATGGAGGAGGTACCTAGAGCTTGCTTGGCCTTGAAGAGGCCTGGACCGTGGTCGGAGACCTTGTTCGAAAGGAATGCTACGCGCACTCCAGCCTCTCAGTCAAGCTTTTCTGTTGTGCTTCAGATATCTAGAATTTATTAAAATCTGCTCAATAGTGGAGTGTCAGACCAGGTTGAGGAGTGAAGGGAGCCGTCATAAAATGGGATAAGCTGAGTGTTAAGAACAGAAGGAGTTTCACATTAATTCCAGTAAATGATTATGTTTATTCACAACTTTTGGGGGACTAACATGCCATATGTGGGACTCTGGAATTTGATTATAAAAAGAGGAACCATCAGGGGCTGGGACATAACCTCTGGTCTGTACTGGCATGTGGGATCCAATTTTGGTGCTCCCATACTTAAGAGAGGAATAAAAATAATTTAAGTTTTTAAAAAAGTCTTTATTGTTATATGTTTTAAAAAAAGACTTTAGCCTAGAGAAGCAAGAGCTGAGGGGTGGCTGATTACAATCTTCAAGTCCAAGAATAGTTTTTGCCAGGAGGGTTTTGATTAATTGGTCTTCCTATACTTCAAAGATTTCAGAGGAAATGGGCTTCAGTTGAAGGAGGAGTGATTTTAATGAATATGAGAAAGAGTTTCTTGATCATCAAAGTTGGGAAACCTTTGAATGACTGCTGAAAGTGTGTTGAATTTCTGACTGTCAATTATCCATGACTGTGTAATAGAGTGTCCTAAAACTTTTGGTGGCTTCAAATGACATTTTGTTTGTGATTCAGTGTGTTAGTAATTCAGAGTAGAAGGATGTACCGCTTTGCTCCACTGATGTTGATTAGATTGGAGGATCCAAGATGACCTCACTCACGTATCTGGGCCTTGGTGCTGTTGGCTGGGACATTTTGGTTGTCCTCCATGAGGTCCCTCTCTCTCATGGCCTCTCATCATTCATTAATCCAGACTGGGCAGCTTTTACATGTGGTATTTGGCTTCCCAGGGGGCCACAGTGCAGCTGCAGGACCTCTTAAGGTCTAGGCCTGTGTTTCATTCAGACACTTCTGCCCCATTTTTGGTTAAAGTAAGTCCCGCATGTAGCGCACATCCAAGGGGAGGGGACATGGACGCCACCTCTTACAGGGTAGAGTGTCCAAGTCACACTGCAGAAGGGCATGCAGCATGCTTGGAGTTATCGTGGTCAGTTTTGGAAACAATTGACCACACTGACCTTAGAGATTTTAAGTGAGATAATTGTATCAATACATATTTATTGAGTAGATAGTTTGGGCGTATACTTTA